ATGGGCTGGATAATAATTTTTATACCCCTTTTTTATTTTTCAAAAATTATGATGAGACATTATGACGTGACATTTATTTGTCAGAATCACTGTTAATCATTGTTCATCCTGCAAAGAAAATTAGTTTCTCTCTCCATATTTTTTCGTGCCATATTGTTCATCACTATATACTATTTTGGTATGTAACATAGCATAACATATTAACCAAGTTAGTAATGCAATTATATTGATGGTCAAATTTTATTATGTTTGTGATTAAATAGACTATTCATATAATGTTTTAATGAAACATAACATTATATATGACATATCATAGTATATTATACATATTATTTATGTAATTATATTCACGTACGAAATATGATATACCATAATTTGAAAATGATATTACATTAAAAAATATTGATGATCATATTTTATTATATTTGTGATTAACCAAACTATTTATATAATCTCATAATAAAATGTAATATAATCTATTATATACGATATATCTTTTGTACCATATAATAAAATATGGAATATAGCATGTTATATATAGCATGTTATATATCCTATAACATATCATATAATAAATCATATATTAACATGATATGTCATATTATTATTATATAAATAATATGTTTGTATTATGTAGCATGTTATATTAAATATAGTATGTTATATAATGTATAACATACCATTTATTATCTTGGTATTGCCATGTTATTTATTCTACGTAACATATGTTATGTTATACTACATATTAGTAATCTTAGTATTGTGTTTTAAATATTGTTTATAACATGATGAATATGTTATTACATGTTATATGATGTATATCATGTTATATATTAATATAGTATACCATGCTATATAAAAAAATAACAAGTTATATTATATATTACATATAATTTGTAAGATTATATAAATAATTTGAGTAATTTATGTCTATTTTAAAAATTTCAAAAGTATAACATATACGATTTTCTTTATACATGTAGATTGTGAAATGATTCAATTATAATAAAAAACATATCAATGTGAAAAATCAGAAGAGGAAACAATTTGATGAAAAAGAAAGAAAAAGCAGATTGTCAGGTTGCATATAAATATGGCAGAATGTACTATACACTTTACAGTGTGTCATAAGTGTGTCACAAAAGTAATTTCGTCAATAATTTTTTTTCTTAGCGATAGACCCTAAATAATTTTTAAAGTGTTTACCGCTTGACATTTTAAGTTATACGAGTATATTAGCCTAAATGATCCAAAAAAATTTAAACTGAAAAGGGATAAAAGCAGAAGAAATTATATTTCTGATTTTTTTTTTTTTGGTCATCTCAA